TACCCCAGCCGGGGACGGAAGAATCCGCTAGGATGAGCGAGTCCGGCCGCTGGGGCCACCCCCGCGAGCCCCTTTCCCCTGGGGCTGGTCCCCTTTGCTCTCCCCGCACAGCCGGAGCCCGCGGTTTCCATGGGAACCGCAGCGGGGTCTGCACGCCCGGGAGTAGCCCCGCTCCGCTCCTGGCAACGGGCACAGCTTCCGATGCGACAGGACCCGGGAGGAACACGGGGTGGGGAGCAAGCCATCTCTTGGGGTGCCCGGCGTCGGCAGCCACGACTCCCTGGCAAGCCCAAGAGGGGCCACCCGGGGTCCCGCACTGCCACCGCCCCGATTTCGCGGGCCACTGTGATTGGCCTGCCCTCTCCATCAGCGTGGCAGTGCCCTCTGGTGCGCGCGCTCTCATTGGCTCAATCTCTAGAGCATCTTCCAGCAATTGGTTCTTTCAAGGACCGTCCCCAATTGGTCAAATTAGGCTCTGCTCGCTGATGGCGCTGAGTCTGGAGCCTATCCGGGCGTGCAGGAACGAGTGAAGGGTGAGGGCTGCGACTCTCCTGTTAGGGGGTCCGGGCTGCGCGGCCAGCCGCGCCCTCGACCAAGCGGTGGGACCGCTGTCTGTGGTGCTGAAGCGTCACTCGGCTCCCCCGCCCCAGGGAATACCTGTCCCCGCGTCTCGCTGCCGCCCCGACGTAAACACACATGTGCGCCCGCGCACCAAAGGAGGTTGCGCCACCCCCAGAGCCTTAGAGAGAGGCCAGGTCCCCGCTCCCCTCCCCCCAGCAGAGAGAGCATGACTCCACAGTCAGGAGGAGCAATCGCGAGCTCAGAAAGCCAGGACATCTACATGGCCCGCCCCCTCTCCACCTGAGTTTATGGGATCCGAGAAAAATCTGTGGTTTCCAGCGGGGATTGTCTGGAACCCCAGGCCCCCAACCTCTTTACCTCTTTCGGAGCAATGCGGAGTTCTGCACTGGGGCGCGCCCATCCCCACTTTTTGAACCCTAGAGGCACCCAGCCCACTCAACCCTCAGGATCCCAGCTTCCATCGCAGGCAGGTAGGGGCCACTCTAGTCCCTCCCCCTCCCCCATGGTCTTGAGGGGGCTACAGCTACTCCAGCTCTAGATGCTGGACCAAGGAGGGAAACCCGCTCCGTCTCCTAGGCAGGAAGCCCGCCCAAGAAGGGGTGCCAGGCCAGGAAGTAGGGCCTGCTGGGGGTAGGAGGGCTGAATCTGGCAATCCGAGCGCCCAAGAGGCATTTTTAGGGGTACGGAGTCCGGGCCAGCGCTTGCTTGCTTCCACCTGCCGCGCCGTCGGGCGCCGCGAGGAGGCGGGGTTCGGTCGCCGCAGCCAATAAGCGACGCCGGCGCTGGCAGCTGCTGCTATAAAGGGCTGGGGGCGGCGGCGGCGCGGCCCAGAGCGCGGAGCGCGCAGCGCGGGCCGGAGGGAGG